AGAGAATAAGAGTCTAATTATTGTTTTGAAAGTGTCCTTAGTATCATTAATATTACACAATCAAGGTCAAGGTCAAGGTTATCAGTATTCCTGAAATATCTTCGAAGGGCCTTTTCACGATGATCTTGACCAACGTATTAAATATCTGTTCACCCAAGGTTATGACTGAAGGTGAAATTTTCAACTTTATCCATTTCTGGGGTCAGAAGTCAAAAGCACCATTAAAAAAGTATCCTGACATTGATTTGGCCATCAAAGTCATCGTAAAGATAGTGAAAGGTAATGGTTTTTAACGGTAACCTTGACCAGGTAGACCAAGGTTAGATTAGCTTTCACCATGTCTGAATGTACAATCATCTTGACTTTGATTTGACCTTCAAGGCCATAGTAATTTAAGATGAACTCTGAATAACCAGCACAAACTCTGAATAACCAGCACAAACTCTGAACGAGTACTATTTACTCGCGTATTTCCAAAGTTGCGGTTACGGAGCTTGTGGATCACCCTGTATAATGAAATTATTATAAATTATTCTTCGACAATTTTTATATAATCATTTTGTCACCTGTATAGCTTGGTAACTATTTTCCTTCCTATAGATTTCTAGATACTGCTAACCAATTACTTTTATTTCTTCTATACCTCGATACTGACACCCTATTATAGTCGCTATTGTTTCTTTGCGTATTTACTGGCCTTTTCTCATTTTTCTGCGTGCATGCTGATACCTAATTTTTCCAAACACAGCTGCCAAAGTCTCCCATTACCAACTTCAAAACACAAAGTTATATTTCTGCCTGTGAGCGGCGCTATTTTCATCAATTAGGGAGTATTTATATGCATTCCTCGTCTCTTTGGGATTTGCTAAAGAAATCACACAACTTCCACTCGAAAAGACAAACAGAATTCATATTTATGCCCGTGAGTGGAGCTAGTTCCGTATTTATATGAGTTCGCTCTCATCTTCTTCAAAGAGTGCACCATAGGATTCTTAAAACTTCCTAAGTGCTCTCTGCTAGATACTTATTCTAAAAGCTTTTATAACAAAATGCCAGGTTCGTAGCTTTTATTGCCACCGAATTCCTTCGTCTAGTTTGAATATTGAAGTTGTAGACGAACTAATTATGAGTCAGAAACGGGACGGAGATAAATTGGTGTAATTTGTCAAACAAAAGAGTAAAGTGAAATTAGTCTGGGCTTAATTTGCTCCGAAGCTTCATTTGTGTGGTCTAAAAAAAACAACAGTAAATATGGTTTTATGTAGCTTTTTCATAATTCGTAGTGTTCCTTCGTTAAAACCTGAAAAGTAGATACCTGAAAGAACAACCACTTTAATAACGTGAATTTTGATTATAGTTGATAGTTTGTGGACCAACACGGGCGGTTCATATACAGGGTCTTCCACGAAGAACTGTATCGATTGGTTTCTAAGAAAGTAGGCATTAAATAGTTACGGAAATTTGAGGTTTTAATGAAATAGTTGGCACAGGAAGAGACTTAATCTAGTAGACTTTGTTGTATGTCTAGTTGTTATAAGAGCTTTCCATATCAAACCTTACGTTTACATACGTAGAAAGCTTTGAAACATCCTAGTTACGTACTTAACTATCGGCAATGCCACTGCAAGTCAAAAATGTGCATCCTGACTTCAGCTCCACGTTAAACGGCTAACATCACATGCCTCGATTCCGATAATGCAGTTTCCTTGATCTTGCCTGGATGACCTTGTCGTTGCCCAAAAGAAGTTTTACCCCCCTGCGTCAGACGGTCGATTTTCGTAGCTGCAGATACGTTGGCGCCACCCCAAATTGTGTGGGAGAAACTCTATAGCATGCTGACATTATTTTGATTTATTTTACGCCATCCTTTTTTAGTTTGATTTATGTTCATTCGACCAAAGTTTACTAGATGTGACCTTTTTGAGGAGGATAACAAGCGCAGTTTTAGGCTTGGCTTTCCAATTAAGAGACGATCCCAGTTGATGATTGATAGCCTGAAAAGCTGTACTTGTAGAATGTTTTCTTAATTGTGTAAGATGGTCATGGGAAGTTTCCATGAAGTGGTTGGAGCTAGATATGTGGAATGCTGTGGATGTTAGACTATACATGTTTTAGGAGTTGAGCTTTCGTTATTAGCTCCTTCAGGAACTCATAACCATCGTTAATGCACAAATGTTACAGTTTGATCCTAGGTATTGAATGGTAACCTTGAGTTTAACCTTTGGCATGATCTTGAAGGTTAAATCAAGGTCATACAATTTTCAACTTCTGACTCTAAACAAACAAGTCGGAGATTTTCACGTTTATTATATGACCTTGGGAGAAAAATATTTTGAGTATGAGCTTCCATGGTCAAAGTCATGTCTACATGTGAAATTTTTGTAACATGGGTCAAACTTACAAGTACAATGCAAAAATTGTCTGACTGTCAAGGTCATTGTCAAAGGTCCATTTCAAGGTCGCCAGTGAATACTAAGGAAAATCGAAGCGTCTGCTCTCTTCGAGTCCTTATGTTTGCTTTGTCTTTAGGAACAATCCTGAAATATTTTCAAACGGTGGTTTTTTAGAGTGACGTTGAAAAGGCGCTCAAGTCTCGAATGACTTAGCCAAGGTCATAGTCAAACGCGAAATTTGTCGTCCTATCTATTTTCAAGAGTAAAAATATCTAGTTTCTTCAAAGATAATTGTCTTGACATTGATATATCGTTAAGGTCATCAGTAAATAACCTGAAGATTGAAGCTGTCACCTTTGACTCTTTATTTTCGCTTCATCTTCAGATTGATCCCTGGAATGTATTTAAACTGGGGTTCCTCACGGTGACCTTAACCAAGGTGGTCAAATATTTTCCTCCTGAGATCATATCCAAATGTTCCGCTCTGGAATTGAAAAATAGACTCATCCCTAGAAAATCGTCTTGACGTCAATTTGACCTTCAAGGTCATGCCCATATCTAAAGGTGGAATTTTCCGATCTGGGGTTAAAAAATAGGACCACACTTGAAAAATCGTCTTGACCTTGATTTACTCAATGTCATACTCAAGGTCACCACTCAGCAGTCAAGAAAAATGCTAACCCTTCACTGTTTCATTTCAACATTAACTTTTGAATATTCTCAAATATCTCACTGTTCCGGGACTTTTTGATCACATTGTCTGCAGAGCCCTACAAGAACCAGATCGACAAGGTATTTGGGAAGGTTCAGGTAGTATAATAGTAGTGGTTCAAGATTTTTCTCTATATATATTTTCAAGATCAAATCAAGGTCAATACGTGTTTTAAATGGGATCCTACATGCGTCACTGGCCAAGGTCTTGTAAAATTTTTGTAACATGGTCAAACCTATAAAGTACTATGCGTAAACGTGTCTGACTGCCAAGGTCATTTTCTTCAGGGACTGCTTCAAAGTCACTAGTGAATAGTCAGGGGAACTGAAGCCTCTGCTATCTTCGGGATCTTATGTTTGCCTTATCTTTTGAAATGTTGTGGAATGATTCATATTTCACGAGCACCTTGGAAGTGTTGAATTATTTTCAACCAAGGTAAAGGCTAGACGCGAAATTTGTCGTCCGATCCATTTCCAAGGCCAAAAACATTGAAGAAAACTGTTTTGACATTTATTTGAGCGCCAATCCCAGTTTCAAGTTCATCAGTAAGTACCCTGAGTAAAATTGAAGATCCTGCTGCTTTCAGCTTTATATTTTCACCCCAGATTGATTTCTGGAATGTATTTAAACGGGTTATTTTAAGAATGACCTTGACGAGGACGTTCAAGGTCAAAATTTCACTTCCCAAGATCATATCTGAACCCGAAATGTTTTGCCTTGGGTTCAAAAAAGAGGATCACATCTAAAAAATCGTCGTAACCTTGACTTGACCTTCATCATCATCCTCAAGGTCACCACTACGTAGTCAGGAAAAATACTTAACTTTTGCTGTGTCACTGTTGCTATAACCCTCAAATATTCTCCGTTTCGGTTCTTTCTGATCGCCTTGTATACATAAATGTGCCAGAAACGTGATTTTAGTGCGAGATTGTATAAGCTGTACCGTCACTGGGTTCTCATCGCTTCCACACAATCTGCTAATCTTTTAAAGCCACGTAAGCTATCTGGTCAAATGTTCACGTGGCCGATAACGAAAGCCGTGGACGGAATATGAAAAAGATAATTAGCATAAAAACGCAGCATATTTCTGGTTAATTGAAAAATTGACGAAGATTTGATTGCATGTTGGATCACCCGTTGTGATGTGAATGAGAGGTGGGTCATTCAATCTTAATGAGTTTATACAGGATTCGTGAAAAATAGAGCTACGAAAAGGTAATGTAGTCCTATCGTATAAAGACCACAGCACAGAATGGGAGGCCGTGCTGAATTTTGGAAGCATCAAACTCTACTAGTTCCTTGCGCCTCAATGATACTAATAACCTCCAGGCAAATCGCTGCTAGATATTCCTTTCCAGCTCATCAGCAGAGAGCAGTATGGCACTCTGAGTTCCTGCATGTAGAGTACTGTCGTTAGCAAGGCTGTGTATCGGATTGATCGTACAGAAAAGGAGGCCAAACCCTGGGGAATACCCGCGTTGGCATTGTGGCGTGAAGAGAAGAACCTGTCAATTATGACGGATGCCTTGGGGCGAGAGAGGAAGCCAATCCCAAATCTGCAAAGCTTCTCTGGAAGTTCCTGCATAGATTACTAATAGCTGCGGCTATATCCACAAATCTCAAGTCAAGTCAAACAATAACCATTATTCTTAAGATAAGAGATGTGACGTAACACAACCATATCAGTGTCTTAATAGCTGAGATTCCGTTGTCCAGTCCCTTGGAGACGTTTTGTCTTTTTTACTGTCCACGATAACGCTCGCCCTGACATCATCAATCCCAACACTATGGCAGCAAAGAACCGGATAACCTTGGCGTAACGTCGCTACCATTAAGCGCGATATCTCGGTGTTACTTCAGCCGGATTAGGTTTGGAAATAGATTTCATGGAGATACGAGAAAACATTTTATTGTATGCAAAAGTTAATACGAGCAGAAGAAATATCTAGAGATCGGGAGAACAGATAGAGTACCTCAACATCTTGTTGCATCTGTAAGTGGTTACTTTCTCTTCATGGAATATATGATGTTATAATACATAATACATACTAAAATCGTCTATGTCTCTTCTTTAGCCTTACTATATCATTGTGGAAAATCTTTTTTTATAGTTATGTAGGACCTCGTAAGAGTCAAAAATCATTCTGCGCTCATGTGTTGGACTCGTTGTGTGTGTTCCTCTTTTTGGTGGAAATTCTTACAATCTCTTTTGTGCTCTGATATTTTTAAGTACCGTCCTGTTGTCCCTATATACAGAGTGTTAATGAAGTATGTAAATAACTTTAACCATCGAACTGTTGGTCAATTTCAAGACGAAATTTCCATATGAACATGGGTCAGCAACGGCTTTGTTTTCAAGCTAGAGCATATTAGCACTGAAAGAAATGATGATATTGTTTTAAAATAATTATAAAAGGATGGTACGTATTTTATTTTAATTAAGTATGCCCTGAGGTGAATATCACATGATTTACAGTTGTTTTCAGACACTAGATACGGATGTTATCCAGTATTTTTTGAAAAAATAGCATGACATTGTTTTGTTTTGACTATTGACCGTCTAAATAACTGTTTTTTAAAATAATTCAGGATAATACTATTTTCATCCACGTTCACATTGAGCCTGAGCAACTTGTAAAACATGCAAAATTTATCATAGGTTATACCAACTGTTCAATAAATACGTTCCATTACTGATAGAAGTATTTGGAACATTACTCGTACTTCTTTAGTGATAGTGCTCTAGCTCGAAAAGAAAACCGTTACGGACACATGTTCATATGAGCATTTAGCCTTCAAATTGACCAAGGATTCGATGGTTAAAGTTTTCCCATATACAACTGTTCTGTTTGTCCCTGTACAAAAAATTGCAAATTCAATAAGTTGGTTAAACTTTTTTGTGACTTGTGGCATACCGTTAGAATCGGAATAAACTGGAGTAGTTTTTGAAAGAATTCTAAGAACGTGAACGCTTTTAGTTTTTTTTCAGAAATTAAAAATTGAGACTTACATTTTTTTGTTCTTCTTTGTAACACTTTGTGAGTTTATGAATAAAAAACTACCTGCTGCTGGCAAGTAGTTTCAGTTTTAGAGAATATCAGGTTGAGATTACCTTAGAATTACTCTTAAAAATGCATTATTATTGTATGAAAGATCTGTTAGTAAATGTACACCTCATCAAGTGAGCTTTCAACTTTCGTCATCGGCAAATGGAAGGTAAATCGTAGAAGTGATATTGGCCATCGACTGACTAATTCGTTTCCAATAAAATAGCTACTCCCTGCGTCGGTCGATGTTGATTTGATAGATACCTTCCGTTTTCACTTTGAATGGTCACGGTCGCGCCGTATTCTGTATTGCGTTTCATCGCAGTGATCATTGCAATCGGATAGACCCACTTTCCAGTCGCTTATGACAAATTGTCCAATCGTTGCTGGTTGTTTCAAACTGCCAACTGACTGTCTAGTCCGGGAAGTGACGATGAGGTCGGCAGAAACAGTTTGGCGACCGAATGTTTTCGTTCGCTTTGTATAGTGACACCGATAGTATGATTTCTGAAATTAGAAATGTCGCATGTTCGTCTTGTATACTGACACGGATAGCCGTTCGGTTCAAGCTGCAAACGCGTAATTGTGACTCTTGCAGGGTGTGAGTAGTATGAATACCATCTAGGATTCATTATATTAAGTTGGGCATAGTGGTACCACTGTTTAAAATGCAAGGAGAATTTTTGTTTATTGTGGGTAGTCAGCAGTATCAAGAAGTAGCAAGACATTTGTTAATTATAAAAACATGATTTTGTAGATGTCTAGTATGTGAAAAAGTATTAAAACAGTATCAGGCAAGACATTTGTGAGGAATTGAGAGGATATTTTGCTCATGAAAGGACTATGTGCAACGATAAAGTTTACAGTTCTTCAAGTCTAATTTTTGTAATGTGCATTGCTGTGTGTCTATGAGATGGGAAGAGTTTGTTACACGAGCGGTAAACAGCTATTTCAACAACAAATCGCAATGTTTACCAGGTCTTTAAATTAGGTTTTGAGACTGATTTTTTAATTTTTCAAAATGAGTTTCCTTGAGGAAATTTTCAGCTTCAGGAAGAGAAAAATATCACGATCTGAACGCACAAGATCCCGGACTATGTCGATATTTTCAACGGTTCTTTTCTGAAAATGCCTTAAACTACCAAACAACCTAGGCTCTTGACAAAACACTATCTCTGTAGACCTGCTAAAGCTAGGCAGGGATTTCTGTTCCACTTTGCCAAAGCCTGAAACAAAACCTGATCGCTCACCGTCACTTATCTTACAGACCTCGTAACTGGTAAGAAAAATGTGTATATTTTGATAGCAATACCTCTTTGAATTTTGATTAAGGTTTCCTGTCGCTTTCTGCATTTTCAGTATCAAGGGCTCATAAAACATAACCCGGCAGGGGACATGAGATGATTTTTGAAATGATAAAAATCTACAAAGCACCACCCCAACCACATGGAAACTGCTTTGATTTCCATAAAAATACGACCTTATTTGAAAAAAACCCACTTCACACCAGTATTCCATCAATATCACATGACATGTTATCAAGGACGCATAAAACATTCCCGAATATGCCCTTATCAGCGTCACATTACCAGGTTAATGTTCCGAAAGGAAATGAACATTTCTCAAGTTTAATCCATAAACAATGTACTGGATCCAACACGTTGCGTGTATACCGGTCCAAATACCTGCCAGATGACGCACAAATGCCTGGGGTGAGGAATGTAGGCCGTTTTACAGGGAATACCCAGCACAACGTGGAGGCGATAATTTCAGGAAGCGTTCGCATTTTTAAATTCACAACTCGTCGAGGAACAGGCTGGTTGGTCTCTTTTATTTGAATATTTTTTATTATTGCCTCGGGATGATTATTTATCAAGTATTAAAATGGAATCTTATTTGCCCTTGCAAGTTACGACTTTATCAATATCACGAAACTCAACTGGTCCTTTTGGATAAACTACGTGATCAGCGTTAAATGAACGGTCCCGTGGTAATTAGGATCTCTTGTTTTTTTTGTCATAAGGATGTGGTCCACCAGTTGCGTCATACCTTCTGGTCATTGTCGACTTCTTTGCAGATTGATCACATGTTCGATCTTAGCTCTTGGAGTAATTCGCTATTTCTTGATCACACTCCCAAAAGCCGGTGTAAACAACTGCTCATGTCACACAATACAAGAAAAATATTTCAAGTACAAAACTACCTAATTTGACTCTGAAGTACAGACTTACATCCCGGCTACATGTTGGATTAGAACAAATTGAATGCTAGCTCTGTTTCGTTGATCAAAACACGTAAAACGAACGTGCTAATGAAATCAAATTAATTCTGACAACATTCTAACCAATTTGGGCGAGAACACAACATCCTTTGACCCTAACCTTTCACCTCGTTCACACGAGAGGCGTTCAGACACCTAAGTCAGCATCAGAGCAGGCCATTAAGCTCATCTTAATTAACAATGCACAATTAGCGCGCGATGCAAGGTAGCCCCTATATTCCGCTGGCACTTATCGCCCCCAGCAAGAGTAAATCCATTCGCAGTGACCCTTGTGAATAGGGCTCGTTAGATCCTCCGATTGCTTTAATGAACCAAAGCAATATTAGCAATGGGAAAACGACTCCGCAAGCTGGGTTGATTACACCGCGGTGCACATGTGGAAATGGTAAATAGCCTAAGTAGTTTAAAATCCTACGTTGCAAGGCGATTTGAAAGGTTCCAGCAGAAGGTGCTGGTATCAGAAACAAATGGCGTCAAGTCGATTGATTCTACGGATGCGGATGACGGGCAATCAGCAATCTAGCTCTTTTCTACCGCTACGCCAATGGGCTTTGCTCCTCAGAGAGGACCCGCCTGATTCCTATCCTAATCGTGTCGCACTTCGTACATCCAGAACTGGCCTATACGACCGCTCCTCCACATGAGGAGGCTTTTACCAAGGTTTCCTTGAGGTCCTTGTAGCAGCTACTTGAGCACACGCTTTATTCTAGTTAAGGATCATGCAACAAACGTATCCATGAAAGTAAAATCGAGCTGTAAAATTTCTGCAGGTATGTTAGAGTTTCCTCTCGTCGAAGCAGCTCTTTGGTTGACAAAAAAACAAGCTTCTGTCAGATTATTATAACCAGATGACCCAAATATTCTGTTCTGTGTTATATTTACGAATAATCTCAATTTTTAAGCAACGCTAAGCCGTTTATCGTCATTAATCTTGAAAAAAAGGAACGCGATTTCTTTGAAGTTTTTCCTGTCGAGCAATTCCTCTTCGAAACTCGTTAAGAAGTGAATTAAAAAATTGCTAATCACGTCGTTTTTCAATTTTGTTTCAGGATAAAGAGCATGACAAGACCCCTTTGCAAGTTTACAGAAAAGGGGACAAATGATCAAGCGTACAAATACTGAAGCTGAAGTACGTACTCGTCTAAAATGGGTCCTTGGAAGAGGTTCAGTGTAGGCGTTGCTACTGGAAACAGTATTGCTTGGACAATATAGAGGTAGGTTGCTGTGCTAGTCAAGTATTCTCAAAAACGTAAAAAGACCGAGGGAAATCAGAGAAAACGTACAAAACAAAAATATACTCAGTGAACAAACTATTTTTTCAACTTGTTATTTTAGCAACATAATGTTTTACAACAATTTCAACGATTTATCTTTGTTTTCGTTTACCTTTCTTAAAATGTTATCTCTTAGTTTTTGTGAAGAAATCAGTTTCTTCAGAACACGTGGGATATGATGGGGAGGAGAGTATCCACTTTGAATTATCTGCCACAGATTCTGCCATAGCTAATCCACGGAGCTCGAAGTTGCTTGGAATGAGCTGCCACAGCCAGACATCGATCATCTCATTTTGTCGATGTCCAGACGTATACAGGATGTATTCAGCTGCGGGGTCGCCTAACACATTATTAGTTTTCTTTACTACTTGTCAATAAAATTTCATGAGAATGTTATCGTTTCATTCTTGATCTGAGACTGCCTCATTATCAACATATCAAGTTGACGAAACTATATTTTTCGGGTGTAAGACTTCTAACGTCAGATTATAATAGATATCCTACGTTCATTTTTTGCTCCGCTGCTGACAAAAAATCATGATCTTGTTAGTGTCATTACTTAAGTAAAAATTCGAAACAGAAAATCAAAACATATTTTTCCCGAATCTATACGTTTCACACTGGAATGCTCTGTATAGTTCAGCAGTGAGGCATCCGGTATCGTTAGCGTCTAAGGAGATTTAACCCAATCGACATAATTTAGATTATTAAATAAATCTTCGAAAACGCGATTTTTACTCAGATCATGGCCTGAAGAGAGTCAAGAAGGAACATTTTTAAGGCCTAGGTTCACTGGATGAGAAATGGCGCAAGTGCACAAGAAAAATTACAAAAAAAAAATAATAAATTCGTCTCTATTATGCACATGAAGGTTCAGACATATCTAACACCAGCGGAGTAGTTTAGCCATGGGCTGTTCTTATACTTCTGGTCGATAGTGACTCCTAATGTTTTTGTACCATTTATCCATCTTTCACCATGTTACTGGGTGTTTCCCTCATCCTTAACGTAAACAACAATTAGCAACATCCTCACATACTACTCTCCTGATGATGATGGCAAAGACCATTGAAAGCTAGAGAGATTAAAAAAGTATAAAGAGTCCTACTTGCTTAAATTTTGTCGAAGTACCCAACAAAAGGCGGAAGCTTTAATTTTCACTTAACTGGTCTAGACGACAATGACCACGTCTCAATATATATATATAAAGAGAAAATTATCATGCGGAGAAAGGTATATAACAAAGATAGGAAAATAATGGACAAAATCCGCAAAAAGTGGATTCGAGCAGAAAACAGGATAGGTAACCCGAGCGATACGTATTTCTGCTGGTTGGCTTCATCAGGTCCGAAATGAATGCACATAAGCAACTACAAAAGTAGAGACACATGCCCATACATCCGGATACGGATGTAACCTGAGGAAACAAAGATGGAGAGGAAAAAAAGTCACACGAAGTCCACAACAAGAGCCAACCTACACATTGTAGTATAAAATGGTTAGAAGACCTCGAATTTTTAAGGCGACAAATAACCACAACCACGCGGCCGGTTATAGCCACTTGCTGTGGTACTTCAAGCCCAAAGGATCTACAAAGAGATATATATGATATATACAGGGTGGCCAAACACGTGACGTCATAAAAAAAAATTAGATTCCCCACATCGAGAGGAACCCAAATCACCCCCATATATATGGTCCGATTTTGTTTAGTTTAGGAGTTATGATTTTTTTTCGGATTTTTCGAGAATTTTTGAGTTGTGTTTATTTTTACCATAACTTCGTTAATAATTGTGATAAATGCCTGCTTTTTTCACGATTATGTAGCTAAGACCTAAGGCTTAACTATCATATAATCATTCAGGTCATGTAACTAATATTACTTTTTAATTTTTTTCAAAATCTTCGAACATAACAAAAAAGTAAAAAAGTGCAACAACTTTGAACGTTTATAAAAAATTGAAAAAACATGTTCTTACTATTCGTAAGTATCTTAAAAACTTCCTTACGGTATCAGCTATTTACCGTAAAAATTTCATCAACCTAGCTTTACTACATGCTACCGTAATTGTGGCTCAAATAGAACCGAACCCAAAATTGGATAACCCTCTGCTCAATAGAAATTGTTAGTTTCGGAAAAAAAATTTGCAAAAACCACAAAAGCACGTTTGATTTTTACTGAACAGCAGATTATTATTCATTTATGTTATTTACAAGAGGTTTTCAAAATGTCTGCCTCTAACAGAAATGCACAGTGTACACCTACGTATGAAATTTTGTTTTAAATCTCTAAATGCTTGTGTGTTGTTTTTCAACACATGTGTCGCTTCTTGAATTTTGTTCCTCAATGAATTTTCATTTGCACATTCTTGGGCGAATGTTATGTCTTTAAAATATCCCCAAACAAAAAAATCAATGGGGTTGAGGTCAGGGGAGCGTGGAGGCCATCGTATCGGTCCGTTTCGTCCGATCCATCTGTCTGGGAACCTTTCGTTTAAGTAGTTTCGCACGATCGTTGCGTTGTGGCATGGTGCACCATCATTCTGGAACACCATATTCCGTCTGGCTTCCAGGCTTGAATCTTCCAGCAATAATGGTAGGCTATTTTCAAGGAAGCTTTTGTAGGCTACCGAATCCAACCTTGACGGCAGTTCAAATGGACCGATAAATTCCATATTGAATATTCCTGACCGGACCGGAATCCCTCAACGAGTACGAGATCTAAGGCACAAAACCTTAGAATACCACGAACATCGATACAAAATATTCTTCATGAAGAAGGTTATCATGCCTATCATGTTCAAAGAGTTCAAGCGTTGATGCCTTCAGATTACCAGTTAAGAGTGGATTTCTGCGAGACAATGCTGCGAAGACAACGAGAGGATCCCGATTTTTTTGATAAAATTTTATGGACTGACGAGTCACGTTTTGAAAGAACAGGGATATTCAATATCCATAATTTACATACTTGGGCTGTTGAAAACCCCCACCAGTCAAGGCCGTCGACATTTCAACACCGTTTTAGTGTGAACATGTGGTCAGGAATATTCAATATGGAATTTATCGGTCCATTTGAACTGCCGTCAAGGTTGGATTCGGTAGCTTCCTTGAAAATAGCCTACCATTATTGCTGGAAGATTCAAGCCTGGAAGCCAGACGGAACATGGTGTTCCAGAATGATGGTGCACCATGCCACAACGCAACGATCGTGCGAAACTACTTAAACGAAAGGTTCCCAGACAGATGGATCGGACGAAACGGACCGATACGATGGCCTCCACGCTCCCCTGACCTCAACCCCATTGATTTTTTTGTTTGGGGATATTTTAAAGACATAACATCCGCCCAAGAATGTGCAAATGAAAATTCATTGAGGAACAAAATTCAAGAAGCGACACATGTGTTGAAAAACAACACACAAGCATTTAGAGATTTAAAACAAAATTTCATACGTAGGTGTACATTGTGCATTTCTGTTAGAGGCAGACATTTTGAAAACCTCTTGTAAATAACATAAATGAATAATAATCTGCTGTTCAGTAAAAATCAAACGTGTTTTTGTGGTTTTTGCAAATTTTTTTTCCGAATCTAACAATTTCTATTGAGCAGAGGGTTATCCAATTTTGGGTTCGGTTCTATTTGAGCCACAATTACGGTAGCATGTAGTAAAGCTAGGTTGATGAAATTTTTACGGTAAATAGCTGATACCGTAAAGAAGTTTTTAAGATACTTACGAATAGTAAGAACATGTTTTTTCAATTTTTTATAAACGTTCAAAGTTGTTGCACTTTTTTACTTTTTTGTTATGTTCGAAGATTTTGAAAAAAATTAAAAAGTAGTATTAGTTACATGACTTGAATGATTATATGATAGTTAAGCCTTAGGTCTTACCTACATAATCGTGAAAAAAGCAGGCATTTATCACAATTATTAACGAAGTTATGGTAAAAATAAACACAGAACTCAAAAATTCTCAAAAAATCCGAAAAAAAATCATAACTCCTAAACTAAACAAAATCGGACCATATATATGGGGGTGATTTGGGTTCCTCTCGATGTGGGGAATCTAATTTTTTTTTATGACGTCACGTGTTTGGCCACCCTGTATATATATATATATATCTTGTTTACAGTTTACAGCAAATGAAAACATATTTTTAAAATTAAAAATTCTACAAAATAAAGCTAATAAAAACACATATGCTAGGATTAAGTCTATGTTAGAAGAACTGCAGTGGTTGGATGAGAAAAATTTCATATGTTCTGTAGTTCTCGTTTTCATATTCAAATTAAAGAATCATTTATTTTGTGGCAACAGTGAGGCGTGAAGCTTTGCATAGTCAGAGCTGTATTGATAACTGTCTTTCCAAATTGCTTCAATTTGTCCAGGAACATCATGCTAATGACCATATGATACAACATACCTACCTCCTGTTCCCAATAACTTTTACGTACGTGATTTACCTCCCGTAACAGTTCTGGTAGACCGTTTTAAGTGTCCCCACACAATCTTTCTGGTAACTTAACCCTAGAATTTACCATTTACTAGTGCATCACATAAGCTGCGTCCAAATCAGTGTTGAACTGACAGTTCGTTCTAAGCCAGACAAGTTGAGTTCATGCGGGTGAGCGAATCGAGACAAAAAATCTTCGCCGAACTGGGAGAAAGATTAGCATGAAAATTCCTCCATTTCCATTTTCCCGACGAGTAGCAAATTCGATATAGAAAGTTATTTTCTCTTACGTCGAGGTAAATGTGAGGGATAAACTGCGCTCCTGACGACGCAAATTGAAGGTTGCGGTGAAGTGTCGACAAGTTGAGAGGAAATGGGGTGTTGCCAAACAGCACGAAATAGGTTGGCTGCCTGTGGTCGGATGAAGAGTGAGAGTTATTGCAAATTCAAATTTTCGGCAGTGTTGCAAGCAATCTTTCATAGATT